TATGTCTATATTCTAATAAGGAGCGTTATTAGCCGTTAGTTTACGCAACTGTTATCTTCACGTAAAGTTTTATCATGTCTTAGCTGAAAGGGCAAATCGTTGCTAAATATCAAAGAATAAATCTGGATACAGTGCAACCTTATTTTACTAGGGACATTTTCACAAATCGAAAATTTAAAAGTCATAAGATCTTTACGATAGTTTATACTATCAACGTTTTGATGATCAACACCATATAACTATTCTACGTTTTTGGACGTCAACTGGCATGAGCAATTAACCAACCTTAGGAGCTGGCACTGGCAACATGCGTTTGTGATCAGTGGGCTGGTTCCACAGTGTGTCCTAAGAATATCGATTAACTCAAAGAATAAACTTCAACATCTACACAAACTGATACTCACAAGTACGAATAAGTGGTCGTTTTGGACGACGGTGGGCTCAGCTGGAAGAAAAAGACATTAAATCATCTGATAGTCTATCAGCATTACAAAGCAGTTTTGCTGGACTCTGATGCTCTCTGGAGAGAATGGCTGTGGTTTGCGATAAAGTCATGCACTGATGGGTACAACAATGACTTAAGTTTGTTAATTTGTATCCGTCCTATCCGTTTGCCAAATTAAGATTGTCAAACACTCTTTCTCATGAACAATTGCGATGTGGGCATTTTCATCTAGAGCATTCATGGGGACATGGAAGGGGTCGTGACAATCTACAGTAACCCCGCGAAACTCTGCGATGGGGAAGCAAACCTCAATCGATGTGAACTCTTGCGGATCTGAGCGAAAGGAGGAAGGATACATATTGGGGGGGGACTAATCGACAGATTTTACATGATAAAAAAAAGTTTTACACAAGCTCCACGCTCCCTATTTGCTTGCGATCAATGGTTCACCCTGTCTTACTCCGAGTAAAATAAACTGCAAGTTATATCGTGTATTTAAGAAGATAAGTGTGCTTCTTTGCTTCTCATTTATCGCAACATTTTATAGTGATTGAATTCTCCACTATAACCTCCTTGCCTCATGTAGGTCAGATTGATAGAAACACAAACACGAACCCACAACGGAAGAAAACCACATAAATTCAAAAAGAAAATACCTGCTGCATAGTACGAGTTAAGTGTTGAAAACTTCGAAGTTGAGGACATTGACCAGGTCTTACTTGGAAAAGGAGCGAGAGAGTTGAACATTATAGGTGTTAGTTGAAGCTAGACCTAGAATCATACTTAAGCACAAGCTCGTGAAGTTCTCCTTACAAGGATGATACTGTAATATGGAGGAACTGCAACGAACAAGTTGCAAGATCGATTGAAACAAACGGATATGCAAATGACCCCTGAATGCGAGAAGCGCGAAAGGACAGCGTACGATGCTCCGCCCATGTATCCTTTGGGTACAGGAACATGGCGCGTTACGGTATGTTGAGATGTAAGAGAGAATAGTGAGAGCAGTGAGGAATACGTGCTTTTGGACTTCACAACGG